GGATGGTTGAAATCTTTTAAATATTTATTTACTGTGATTTTATAGTTAGCGCAAACACGAATATCTTTGCCATTGGGTTTCATAACTGGTACTAATGGTGTTCCCCACAGAGAATTATCTGCCCGTTCAATAGCACCCTCTGACTCTAACCGCTTTAGTTCCACCTCCACCTTTTCCCGAAAAGCAAATGGTAAGTGATGAGGTTTGTGGAAAACTGGTTTTACATTTTCATCTATTTCTAAAGTAACTTTTTCCCCATTGTACCTACCCAACTCCCTTTGAAACAGCTTTGAATATTTTGACAATATTTTATCCAATTCATTGTTTTTATTTTGAATAGCTAGGTCATTAATTGTTATTTTGGATTTTTTAAAGACATGTTAAATTTACTAATTATATCGCGACCTAACAACATTTTAGTAGCTTTCTTGACTATTGTAAAATTACAAATTTTTGAAACATTCTGTATAGAAATTTTTACAGTAATTTTCCCTTCTGGATTCACAATTTCTCCAGAGTAGGTTTTTAATTTAATACCTGTTTTATTCAAAGGAATGTAGCTTAAATTATCTAAATAAAACTTATGAGGCATGCAAGAAATACCTGCTCCAGTATCCAATTCCATCTGTGTGGACACCTTATCATCTACTACAACTGGAATATACAGTGGCTTTATAAAATTAACTTGTTGAATGTCTGTTAAGTTGTACAATGAAAGTATATTCTCATTTTCTTCCTCTTCCACCAAATGATTCTGCTCTAATTTGCATGCTGCCATAATATGACCCTTTTTGCCACATTTTTTACAAATAAATGTTCGGTACTTACATTTACTAAAATTATGCTTGGTTTTGTTACAGAAATTACACCTTAAGTCTTCTGGATCACTATGTCTCTCTTTATCACTATGTCTCTCCACTATTTTCTCACCATTTCTGGAAATATTACTACTAGAAGTACTACTTGCTTTTTGTCTAACTTCTTGTAGCTTATTCACTTCAGCATTATTTCTGGACTGTTCTCTCAAGGCTGCTTCTTTGTTCAAAGCTATCTCTAACAGTTCTTGAAAACTTTTGGACGGACTCTCCTCACACAAACGGTCCAATATATGACCTGGCCTCATGCCTGTTACAAATTTATCTTGGACTCTATACATCAGTTTGTCCATAAAATCACATTGTGTAGCTGCATTTTTAACCCTTAAATACCAATCATTAATAGACTCTTGGCCCTGTCTTAATGAATCGAAAACAATCCTTCTGCGATAGACAGACACTCTTGATTTAAAATGTAGTCTTAATAACTGTATTAAAGTATCAAAGTCTTTACCATTCGGCTTCTCAGGGCTACATAGGTCTCTCAAAATCTTGTATACCTCTTCACTTAACAAGGTAAGTAAAACAGCAACCTTTCGTGTACCCTCTATTTATTTGCCATAAACAATTGGTCTAGCCGTTCTTCAAATACTTCAGAATCATCACCTTGCTTGAAAACTGCTAATGCCGAAATGTTCCCAGTATTAACCACTGTAACAGTCGGTTGGATTGGCAAAACCACGTTTTCTGAATTACCCTGGTTCAAGGACATGACTTGCAAATTCCAAATTCAACTTTCCGTAAAAAAATACAATATTTTGTGCTTCACCCAAACTTCCACAACTTTTCTCGTCGCCAAATAATTGTAGTATCCTTGTAATAATACGACAATTACGGTAAATAGTTTTATTTTACTAAAATACCCGCTAAAAGGGTGAACACAAATGTTTATATTTTTACAGCAATTTTACAAGTGTCCTTTTTTAGGTTGACAGCTGACGGTTGCCAGACAGCCGTCAGCTAACACCCTAAGGTCGGGTTCACACTGTCTAAGCTTACGACACTACAATAATAATATTTTTATGTTATTTTAAATTTATTATAAATAAACACCATGATGTTTTTTGCAGTCACATTTCACAAATTTATATTCAATACTATATTTAGCTAAGACATATAAATTAAAAATGTGATAATTATTTTTAAAACATCTACGATAATCAAACAAAAAAGGTATTCCCGACAAAAGTAATTTGAATGGAGAATAATGCATTTGGTGTGATTAAACCAAGTGATACGCCCATTTCAAATCGCAGTGTGTTTTGACTGCTAAAACAGCCTTAACAAGTATACACTAAATTTAAAAGATAGTTGCCGTTTTTTTATGATAATTAGATATAAATAACATACATTTACAAATTTATAAAAACTTTAAACTATATTTAGTATAAATATCATCTAGACTAGAAAAATATCACATTAAATACTATTCGCATATCACCAAGTCCAAGTTATTATAAACAACTTAGAGTCAGAAATCGATTTATATATTAGAGGAAAATAATAATAAATAAATTTCACAAATGTCATTAGTGTCAATATGTCATAATTTAGTGGAGTAAACTTGCCTGCGGTTGGACCAATTGCAAACAAGCACTACGGCGCGAAAAATTTGAATTACTCCTCCTGGTTAAAAAACAGACCATAGTTATATAAATAAAATGAATTAATATTAAAACAGCAGAGAATTAATATATCAATATTATAACAGCAGAGTAAATGTTTCTATGGATAATAATAAATGTTTCTATAGATAATAATTAATACTAATGCCCATTTTAATAGAACTTGAAGTAATACTTTATTTTTGATAGGTCTTTAAAAAAAGTTACTTTGGATGTATGTAGTGAACTGGAACATATTTTTCGTAGTTATAATGGCGACACATTAAAAATAACAAAAAAATGTTTAAAAAACTTAATAGAAGCTGCAAAATATGTAAATGTTAGCGAAGATGTAAAATTACTTTTTTTAGATGTAAAATGTATTTTAAAATACAAATTCTTAATCGAAATATTAAAGATAATTACAATACTACAAAAGAAAAATCACAAAGATTCTTAAATAAATGTCTAAATAATATTCATAAAGTCTCAAGTTTGACCCGCTTTTCCTTTATGGTCAAATTCTTTACATTTGGCCGGCCTTTTATATTTAATTTATGTTTTGTAGCAATATTTATTTTGTTTGTAATACACACAATCAAATCGTAGATTCATATATTTCTTTAATTAATTTTACAAATTACTTATTAATTTTCAAACACGTTTTTACAGAAAGTAACTAGTTATGACTTATTAGTGCAAGATATGGCATCGAGGCATACTTACCGTTAACAGTTTAAATTTTGAAGTTGTTCATTACAGTAATGGAACAACGTTGCCATATGTTGCATCGTTAAAATATGATACAAACAAGTCCCCTGGCTTTGTCTCACCGTGACGACATGCGCATAGTCGATCAAAATTAGAACGGCAAGTGAGGATATCTTGTTTTCCGCAAATCGCCAGGAAATTTTGACATTACTGTCAAAATTTCTTGAAGAAAAAGTCAGGACTTCCTTACTGTAAGGAAATGATATTTCCGTACAGTTGTTAGTGGTTGTTAGTGTTAACCATCGAGCAAAAAGACAATAGAGGGAATGTAATGTTAGTGGGGGCAAACATATTGTTAGACAGGAAGTGCGATCTTTAGAGGCCACATTAAACAAGGAAAGAGAGTCTCTTTCCTTGTTTGACATCAAATTTAGTTGGGTTATGTTATTGTTTGTCCCAAATGTCACATGAAATCTTATTTATATTGAAGTTTTTTAACAATTGTGTCGCATTTTAGACTCTTATCATTAATAATTAATTAAAACTTTCTCGTCTAAGATACATTCTGCGAAATATTATATAGCTTCTGTTGATAAGTGCATCGAGCAAAAAGATAAAAGAGGGAATGTAAAGGTAGTGGGAACAAAAATATTGTTAGACAGGAAGTGCTATCTTGAGAGGCACTTTTAAACAAGGAAAGACAGTCTCTTTCCTTGTTTGAGAAGTCAAATTTAGTTTGGTTATGTTATTGTTTGTCCTAACTGTCACATGAAATTTTATTTATATTGAAGTTTTTTACCAATTGTGTCACTTTTTAGACTATTATAGTTAATATTTAATTTAAACTTTCTCGTCTGAAAAATATTTTATAGCTATTGTTAATAAGTGTTGGAAAATTTAAATTTAGCGCCTTTGCATTTCCGGATATGTCCGCCATCAGAGGCCACTTTTTTGGTCTCCTTTTCATAACGATTAGATTCCCTCTTTTATCTTTTTGCTCGATGGATAAGTGTCGGAAAATTTAAATTTGGCGCATTCGCATTTCCGGATATGTCCGCCATCAGAGGCCACTTTTTTGGTCTCCTTTTCATAAGGATTAGATTCCCTCTTTTGTCTTATTGCTCGATGGTGTTAACCAGCAATTAAATTTATAAGCGTCAAGTTTGACAATTCAACCTCAATACGTTTCCATAGTAACCCAAGTAATTTTATTAGGAATTTCAAAGCACCATTTATTTGGGAATAAAATTATCGCGTTTTTTTTTAATCAATCAATATCTGTCGAATTTTAAACGATTTGCGGAAAAATAGTATGTTTACCTCGTAGGAAAAACCACATTCCTGGACTCTGTGTTGCTAAGTCTCGGCTTGCGCCTCCACTTAGCAATCTTCACAGTCGTCCAGGAATGTTAAGCTTTTCCTACCCGGTAAACAATGTACTATTGTTATAGTATCATGATGGATTTGTAAGGAAATGACGAATACCAAAATCGACTCAATTGGACATGTAAATCGATTACCATTCGATTTATACAAAATGTCATCCATCATACTTTACGCATGTTGTCAACTTACAAAATTTTCTAGTTTTTAGAGAATAAGATTAAATCCAAGATAAATATCATTAATTGTTTTCAAATTATGACTTTTTGAAAGAGTTTTCACCAATTAAAAATATATCAAACTTCATTTGTTACTAATTTTCTCCCTTTATACTTAGGACAGTTTTAATTAATTAAGAAAGAATATTTATTTTAATCGATAAGATGACTATACGTCAAAGCACTGGCAACAATGTACTCTATGGTTCTTTTTCTAAGTGAAGCCATCTTGGCAAACGTTAGTAAGGTGAAATAAAACTTAAAATTTTTCAAAATGGGTCGTATGCACGCACCAGGGTATGTTTTTAAAATTTAATCCATACTTGGAACTAACGGAATTATAAAATAAAACTAAATTTGCCTTTAGTTACATTTAATAAAACTTGTAAATACATCACTCTAGGTTATGTTGCCATGTGGTAAAAAAGTTTTCTGATTTATTGGAAATTTGTATTACTTATTATTGATACAATAATAAATACTGAATTAATTGTTCTCAATATAGTTAAACGTAGAGCTTTGCAGTTAAATGAAGCTGTTTGTAAGATATTTTCTTTTGTTTCTAGAAAAGGTATTGCCCAGTCGGCATTACCATACAGGAGGAGTGTACCAACATGGTTGAAAGTCACGCCAGAGGAAGTAAAAGACCATATTTTTAAACTTGGCAAGAAAGGATTGACTCCATCACAAATTGGTAATTTTTATGCTTTATATTTAGGAGATAGTTTTTATTTTAAAGTGAGTGGGTCTTAACAAGTTTTTAACTATCAAGCGCTCATAAAGGTGTAGTAACATACTTTTCATTCGAGTTCAATGTTTTACCAACTTTTGACCATTTCCCAAATAAATTTTTAACAAACAAAATTTATTTTTCTTTAATTAATCAATAAAACATACAATCAATAAAACATACAATCAATAAAACATACAATGAATTCTTCTTCTTTGTATTCTGAAAATATATTCTTTATAGACATGATTGTCTGTTTTTCAATGTGCCTCCAGTAAGTTGTTCCATCGTTTTTGTGGTCTTCCTACTGATTGTCTTCCTATTGGGGAACTGTCTCTTGCCGTCTTTACTACTCTATTTGTTGTCATTTGGCTTCTATGATCATTCCATTCTACTCTTCTATTTCTTACCCAGTTCTTGATGTTCTCCACCTTGCATCTATGTGGTATATCTGTACTTCTAGCTCTGTCCCATAGTGTCTTACCATCAATTTTTCTAAGAGTTTTCATCTCTGCTTTGGTCTGATGACTGTAACTTGTTCTATCACCTGACCTTCCAGCTCTAATTTACATCTTAGTAAATTTGCTGTTGTAACCATGCATCTTTTTTGGGGAAATTAACATGTTAAATTTTCTGGTATTTTTATTAAATTAGTTCAGTATACATTGTAAATCATCTTCGCTTTGAGAGAGTAGTATTGTGTCATCTACATAGCAGATTATCTTAGTCGTTTTTCTCCCATTTGGTATCCTTTTTCTAGTTCTTACTTTTTTTTATTATTTCATCCATAATCAGGTTGAACAATAGATTACTCAATGGATCCCCCTTACCTCATTGCCAGCTTCAATAGAGCCAGTTAGTTCTTCTACTTTTAGTTTTATTGCGTTATTTTGGTAGATATTTTCGATCGTTTTGATTATTCCTAGAGTCTCTTGAATACAGTAAGTGGATAAATCTTTTAATTTGACCTGGTCAAATGTCTTTGTAAGGTCCACGAAACATCAATATACCAGTTTGTTGTATTATAATTCTACAACAATGAACTCATAGAGGATGTTATATTGGTTAACTTGAATATTGGTGCAATGAACATAACTTTGGCATCGAACTATATGTTTGTGTGACACAGTGTTGCCACATTTTTTTGTATAAAGTATAGGAGTGTTTAAAATAGAAAGATACTTTGACGAAATTATATATAATGTTTTAAAAAACTTATACAGAAGTAAAATGCTTCACATTTGTATTTAGGTATATACTTAGGTAAATGTGAAGTGTTTTACTTCTGTATAAGTTGTTTAAACGATGGTATACAGCCAACTACTGGGATTTTCCCATTAATTTTTGTATAATGTTGTTATGAGAAGCCATAATTTTTGAATTCATATTAAAAAGCATTCATAAAATAGTATTTTTTACTTTAAATATAGCGAAATATTTAGTGTATTCTTTTGTTTAACCTATTATATTTTATTTATGTATATATATATATATATATATATATATATATATATATATATATATATATATATATTCATTTAAATTTACTTTATCCTGTAGTTTTTAAAGTTTCTAAACTATTAATTTTTACCTTAAGCATAATTTTAATGGTTTTTATTATATAAGTATTTTAAACGTAAGTATTTATAGGTATAAGTATTTTAAATGTAAGATATTATTTTATAATATTTATAGGTATAATTATAATGCTAATTATATATATATATATATATATATATATATATATATATATATATATAAATATATATATATTCACGTTTTTGTTTAATTATACAGTAGAACCCCTCTAATCCGTCACCCTCGGGACTAGCAGTATGGTCAGAACGCAAGAAAGGTTGGATTATCAGAAAAAGTCATTGTGTATGACGTGTGTTTTTAAAAAACGACTGTATTATTCTCTACAGTGATATAATAAATAATTATATTTCAATAAAATACAAGAAAGCTTTTGTTTGTACATTATTTATTAAATATGTATGTAAATATATAATGTCAAAAAAGGTAGCATAAAAATTAGTGCTTACCTATGTAGGCCTACTTAGTAAAAAAATCAGTAATAGATTTTTGTTTACAAGATGAAATTCTGGATTTAGCTGCAATGTTCCTCCATTTTTTCATCCACACGATGTCCATCGGTGTTGATGCTGAGTTCTGCTCAATGTACGAAGGCCAATTTCAAAAGCATTCTTGGCATCGGTGTGTGAAATCCGGACAGGAGGCTCGTCATCATCATCACTGTCGGATTCTGAGTTCACGATTCCGTCACCGTCACGTTCCATAACAGCGGCAACAATTTCGTTATCGTTCAGCACTTCACTGGTTTCGCAGTTTTTGTCACATTGTTCAATCCACTCCTCAACTTCACTAGCAGGTATATTTGCATCCAGGGTCTGAAGATTGGTAACGATTTCCTGCACGTCGTTTTGCTCATCTTCGACCTGGTCAATTTCGATCATAACTTCTGGCCAAAGCTTACGCCAAGATTTTCTTAGCGTGTCAGGATTTAGTTCTGCCCAAGACTCAGCCATTGTATAGATAGCATCTTTAATGTTGAGTGCTTTCATGGCTTGGAAAATATCACATCCTTCTTCGGATTTTTCTAAAATCGAGCTTATGTATTTTCGGCGATAACGCCTTTTAAAACATTCTATCACGCCCTGGTCCATAGGCTGGATAAGTGATGTGACATTTGGTGGAAGGAAGATAGCTTTTATATCCCCTTTTACTAAATCTTCCTCAGAAGGGTGCGATGGTGCGTTGTCTAATAGCAGTAGAGCTCGAACAGGAAGATTTTTTTCGTCAAGTCCTTCTCAACACATGGCACAAACTCGTCAAAAAACCAAGATTTGAAAAGATTGCAGTCCATCCAAGCAGATTTTTGGTTGCGATAATAAACCGGCACGGATGATAAGTTTATGTTTTTGAAAGCCCTGGGCTTCTTAGATTTGCCTATGACAAACAGCGAAAGCTTGTGTGTTCCATCAGCATTGCTACAAGGAGCAACAGTTAGCCTATCTTTCATGAGTTTCGTTCCCGCTACGGTTTCATTTGACGCACTTAAGGTTTTGTTTGGAAGCATTTTATAGTTTAGGCCTGTCTCGTCTATGTTATAGACTTGGCAAGGCAACAGTTCATTTTCTTTTACAATTTGTTGAAACTTGACAGAAAACTCCTTAGCCGCCTCGACGTCAGCAGATAATTTTTCACCACAAATTGAGACAAACCGGATACCATGACGGGTTTTCCAACGATCAATCCAGCCTTCACTGGCTTTAAATTCACTTCCGACTTCTAGTTTTTTGTGCAAAATTATTGCCTTTTCTTTTATAATTGGGCCAGATATCGGAGTTCCCTTCCTTCTTTCTTGACTGAACCACATCCATAGAGCACTATCAAGCAGTTCAAGTTTAGGCTTTTTTAATGTTTTTCGCTTTTTAAGAGCGTTTTCTCCATCTACTATCGTCATTGTATGTGATTCAATTTCATTTCGATTTTTTCTCCAATCCTTAATAGTCGTAACGCATTCAGTTCCTTGGCAATTTTTTGTAGTGATTCACCTTTGTCCAGCCTTTGAAGCACTGCAAGTTTTTCACTTAACGAACGCGTAACGTGTTTACGTTTTGCTCCTGACATGTTGAAAATAATGTACACACTTTAACTCACAAAGTTCGAAATAATACTGACAGAATGGATTGTGATTTTCGGAGAAATTTTCGTCGTAAACAAATCGACCGCCGGGGATTTCCGCGACGCCAAGCAGGTCGGATTACCCGGAGCGTCGGACTATCCGAGGGCGGACGAGAGGGGTTCTACTGTGTATGTATTTTTCAATTTTACATTTTCATTTCATATAATATAAATCTTGCCAATAATTTTATATGTGAGAGTGTGAAATAATTGAGTATATGGCAACACTGATGTATATTAAGCTTACATTTTACATCAAATATATCAAGGATATGTTCATTGGTGAAGTGTCAGTTTGGAAGCTAGAACTAATAGTATTATGTGTAGAAAGACAAATGTATGAAGCTAGAATTAGAGAAGTGTACAATAGGTATTTTACATTCCTCTTGTACACAAAATCTTCGATTATATTTAAATTGACTCTATACTATTGAGTATTCACTTCCTCTTTTTCGACACCTAGTTCAACCAGTAGCCATAAAGCTTATGTTGAAAGGCTTTTTTGCAATCTTAAAAATATATATTAATACCAATAACACTATAATAAAATCTGAACACATCACTGTATGTCACTTAAGAAACTCTCCTTTGCACTTTATAAAAAAAATTCACGGAAGAAATAGTAAATCCATATTTTATACAGTGGAACCTCGATTATCCATCTCTCTATTAACTGTCACCTCTGTTAACTGTCAGGATCCATACATAAGTTATATTAACAACATACGTAAAAATTTAGTCAATTCATTTTGTTTGCAAAAAAGTTTCCACCAAAGACTGTTCTCATTCTGGACAATGTACCTGTACATGCTAAAGCTGGTATGCTGCGGAGAGACGATAAAAATAACACATACTCTATTCTGCCTGCGAATATAACATCATTGATACAGCCAATGGATCAGTCGGCCATTAAAACATTCAAAAGATACAGAAAAAAATGTATTCAAAACCTAGTTATGGAAGAGTAATATTCTTTGTCAGAATAATGAAAAGCATACAATTTAAAACACGTCGACAATGCTGTGGATACCTGGGCTGATGTTTCGGAAGTAACGCGAGAAGAGTGTGGAATAAATTTGGCCTGAATCAACTTAAGATGAAAACGCTCCCCTTAAATGAAAGTATGGCTGAATAAACTGTTTTGTTTTCGTGGCCTAAAGATGGTTAATTTGTGATTAAGACAAATAAACCAACTAATGGTTAATTTGTCATGAAGACGCAAACAGCTATCAATTGTTGAAAAATGATGAAATCGTTGAAATGGCAACAGAGGCGGACGAAAATAATTCGGAAGTTGACAGAACCTTAGATGGTGGCGATTTTTGATGATGCTATTACAACTCAAAGATTTCCGTAAATAAGCTAGAGGAGCTGCATCGCACATATAACAATTCATCCAGTGGTATTCTTGGCAAGAAGCAAATAAGGTAGATTTGATGATTGTATGTAGAGAAATTCAGCTGTTGCAAAATGTGAAGTAACAATAAAACAAACACAGATTTCGGAATAATTTAAATCAAATTGATTCGAGTATACTAATATAAATCTCTCTTATATTGTCAAATAAAACATACAAATAAAATTTAATAAGAGTTATACTGTGATTTTTTTTAATGTTCTGTTAACTGTCTTTTCGATTATCTGTCATACCCTTGGTCCGGTGCCCTGATAGATAATCGAGGTTCCACTGTATTTTATTTATTGTATTGGAAGTAAACTTCTTGTGCTGTAAATCATTTGAAGATGTGAAAAAAACCAATTTATTTAGGTATTTATTTATAATGCAATTTATCCATGCATTCTTTTCTGTTTTTAACAATTTTAATGTTTTAGGTGTTATCCTTAGGGATTCATATGGTGTAGCCCAAGTAAGGTTTGTTTCTGGAAACAAAATCTTGCGTATTATGAAAGCTATGGGTCTTGCCCCTGATCTACCAGAAGATTTATACTACCTTATCAAGAAGGCAGTAGCTATCCGCAAACATTTAGAACGTAACAGAAAAGACAAGGACAGCAAATTCCGTTTGATTTTGGTAGAATCACGTATCCATCGTTTGGCTAGGTACTACAAAACCAAGAGTGTACTGGCACCCAACTGGAAGTACGAATCAAGCACAGCATCTGCTTTGGTTGCTTAAATGTGCTTTTATGTTAAGTTTATAAAATAAAAATTTCTACTAAACAATTTGTTTTATTTCAGTTTTGTGTATTGAAAATGGAGGCTTATATGCTAATTGTAAGGTTTTTTTTTTAAATTTCGGTCGAGTCTAATTGAATATTTAATTATGTAAATTTTTGATGTTTTATACAACTGATTTAACAGAATCATTAAAGGTCTTTGTGGCTTTTCTGGAGCTTATAGCGAAACAAATCTCTTAATATTTTTATGTAGCAGTTATCAGTTTTCTCCAAAAATATTGTTTCTTGGTCTATGTCTCATACTCATGTCAGAAATTCAAATGTCGTAAACTTTTTGTCCATTTAATCTTCTCTATTCTTTGTTTCAAGTTAAGAAAATAACATTATGCTTATGGAGATCAGTGTTGCCAAAACTCTCAGACACTCTTTTGCACGGATGTCCAAGATATTCCCTTTGCTTAATTTTTGAATTTTCATTTTCAATTAACACTTAACTGTCAGAATAACTACTAAATAAAAGCCTTATTATCATTATGTAGTCACGAGAACGACATAAAATAGTTGACATACGCACATCATATTATTTTAAGTTGCAATTAGTAATTATAAATACGCATTATAATTATAGATATACTCATTCCAAGCGGTCAATATTTTCTACTGATTTCTATGATTCATGGCATAGCGTATTCTCACCGAAAAACAAATAAACTGTCGTTACTATAATTAAAATAAGATAAAATAAAATTATCTTTTGTAAATACTATTTATCTAATTAAAATCATTTTCCCTACTTTTCATCTCTTGTTTTGAATGGGCACTTTTGGTCAATTACGTTAAAAAACATTAATTTAATTCATGTTTGTGGAAACAAAAATACAAATTATACAACCCTAAATTGTGCTTGTGTGTGTCGTGGCAACGCCGCGTTGATATCGTCCATAAGAAATACTTGGCCCTATCTCCGCAATGTTATTTTCTAAACGTGGAACGTAGTATAGCATGTGTTCTTCATACTTAAGTTAATTTGTTTACCATCTTGTATTTGGGGTTTTTGTTAACAGCCCTACATTAAGCTGATACTTCCCACCTTTTACTATTTCCAGTTCTCTGAAAAACTTGATTGTGGCCTAACATTATTTTCAAAGGATATATAATTAAAACATTGTATGAGGGAATTCCCACACTATACAGTCAAGGTGGGCCCTCAAAGAACAGCTTAAGCATTGAATCCAAATCTCTTTTCATTCATCTTCAGAGAGTTTTCCATAGATAGAATTTATTCATCCACAAAGTTTACACAATTCTTTCAAAAAAATGATTAAATTTTATCGGACTAGTCAAAAATTTTAGTACAAAAGAGTACAATATATAGCAAAAGTACATACACATGATTCAAATAAAACAGTAATTACAATAAAATAAATAAATAAAAGTTTTACAAATTTAGAACTATTGTTGCAAAAATGTTAAAAATCCATCAACACTGTAGAATGTGTTGTCCATTAAAAATGAATACACAGTTTGACGAAAACCTTATGTGAAGAATTAGTGAGAGTTAATATATTGACTATTTTATTGTAACATTTTACTCGCAATATATTCAGGTGCATGTTGGGATACACCTAATCTAGAGAAAGGTTGTCGAAAATTTGATTTGCTCCTAGTATCATGTTAGTGAATGTCCTCATTTCTGTCAAACTTGAGCTTGTTTTCCTCAATGTGCAATATTAAAAGGCTAGGTAGTGTTAAAATATTAGACTTCTTAAATAGTGGCTTGCAACTATCTGAAAATGGAACACCATACATACTTCTTAAAACTTTCTTTTGATCTATAAATGCCCGTTCAACATTAGATGAGCAACCTTAAAATATTAAGCCATACTGAAGTACATCATCATTAGCCATTTTGCGTCCACTGCTGAACATAGGCCTCCCGTAAATAATTCCATTGCATCCGATCTTGAGCAACTTGAATCCAGTTAGACTGGATGCGCTTTAAATCGTCCGACCACCTTGTTGGAGGACGTCCTCGACTACGATAAGCATCGTGTCTAGGCCTCCACTCTAAAATTTTCTTTGTCCATCTTCCATCTCTGACCCTAGCAACATGTCCTGCCCAGTTCCATTTCAGGGTTGTAATTCTTTCAACTGCGTCCGTCACACCAGTTTTTCTCCTTACTATCTGACTCGAAACTCTGTCCCTGAGTGATACGCCCAACATTGACCTCTCCATCGCTCTCTGTGCCACTTGTATCTTATTAATTACTTTTCTGGTAAGTGTCAATGTTTCTGCTCCATATGTCAGAACTGGAAGTACACACTGATCAAAAACTTTTCTCTTCAAGCACATGGGAATAGCTGATTTAAAGACTTCCCTCAGTTTTCCGTAAGCTGCCCATGCCAGTCCTATTCTCCTTTTTAACTCTGTTATTTGATTGTCTCTTCCCAATTTAATCTCGTGGCCCAGATACTTATAGGAATACACTTGTTCAATTTGCGTGCCATTAGTGGAAATGTTTTTTGCCAGTACCAGGTTGGTCATGTATTGTGTTTTGGAAAAATTAATTTTAAGGCCAACTCGTGCACAAGAGCTCTGAAGGTCTTGAAGAAGTTGGCATGCATGATCTACCTGATCTGCAATAAGGACTATGTCGTCTGCAAACCTCAAGTTGTTCAAAAATTCCCCATTTATATTTAATCCAATATTTTCCCAATTATTTTTTCTCATAGCACTCTGTAATAGGGCGGTGAATAGTTTAGGAGAGATAGTGTCTCCTTGCCTAATACCTTTCTCCAAGGGAAATGTGTCTGTGTCACCATAGTACATTTTTACAGCAGCTGTTGCGCTATCATATATATTTCGAAGAAGAGTTGTGTACCTATGGTCAATACTGCACTCTGTAAGAGCTCTTAACATGGAGCTATGCTGGACTGAGTCAAATGCTTTCTCAAAGTCTACAAATATTAATATCAATGGCTTGTTGTATTCCATAACTTTCTCTATCAAGGATTTTATTACTTGTAGGTGGTCATTTGTTCCAAAGCCACTCCTAAATCCGGCCTGCTCTAGAGGTTGATGAAAATCTAGCTTAGGTCCCAGTCTGTTAGTAATTATTCTCATAAAGAGTTTATATAAATGAGATAATAAGTTGATAGGTCTGTAGTTGCCAATTTCTGTTACATCTCCTTTTTTATGCAATATTATCATAATGGCATTATTCCATTTTTCTGGCGTATTTCCTTCAAAGAGGCAGGCATTATAAAGGGTTTTTAAAGCCTTTATGACGCATTCGCCTCCTAGTTTTATCGTTTCACTTACAATGCCATCTTCTCCAGGTGTTTTGTTGTTCTTCATACCTTTTAATGCTGACTTAATCTCCTCTTCGATTATATCTGGAAGTTCCTCTGACCCTTGATTTAGTATTGCTGGAATTTCTACTTCGGGAATGTGATCATCTCGACTAGATAATGTTCTATAGTACTCTTCGATGATTTTTAGTATCTCTTGTTGTTCATGTATGACATGTCCTTGATTATTTTTTAACTTATAAATATTCCTCGTTCCTGTTTTCAACTTTCGTTTTAGAACTTTTAGGCTTTTGTTTTGTTCTACGGTATCAGTTATTTCCTTAGTGTTTAAGTTCCTTATGTCTTTCCTAATGGCTTTTGAAATGGTTTTGTTTAAATTCCTTAGCTCTGCAATGTTCGTTGTATGCTTTTCTTTCATTTCCCTTCTTTTTTGCATTAGGTTTCTTGTGTCTTCTGTGAGTTTTTCATTTTTTGTTGAGTGCTTGGCTTGGCACTTCTTCTGTGACTTCTTCAGGGCTTCTACCAATTTTTCGTTAAGCTGTTCAATACTGGTTTCATCTTGCAGGTCTTTCTGTAGATTACTCTCTATTTCTTCCTGGTATGCCCTGGTGTTAGTAATCGCAGTGAATGTAACATTATTAGTCCTTGTTACCATATGTCTTCTTTCCTTCTGTATGTTTAAGACTATCTTCGCCCTAACCATTCTATGGTCACTTCCAGTTGAAAATTGATTTAATACAGTTACGTCTTGAACAGCGTCTTTTTTGTTAGTAAATATAAAATCAATTTCGTTCTTGTTTAAACCATTTGGTGATTGCCAAGTCCACTTTCTTTGGTCGCTTTTTTTAAAGTGCGTATTCATGACATATAGCCTGTGTTGCAGAAGAAATTCTATGAGAGTTTGACCCCTTTCGTTTCTATCGCCATATCCGTGAGGTCCAATTACAAACTCCGAATCATCTTGCTTGTGGCCTATTTTGGCGTTTAGGTCTCCCATCAGTATAGTAAAGTTGGTGTTTGTCTCTTGTATGGCAGTGTTAACGTCATCGTAGAACCATTCTACTTCTTCATCTGTATGGGTACTAGTAGGTGCATATACCTGGATGATCTTTAACCGAATTTTTTCGTTTACTTTGTAGATAAGATATATAACTCTATCACTTATGCTTTTAATTGTGAGTATATTCTTTGTGTGTTTTTTATTTACTATAAATCCTACGCCACCATTGGAAGATTCTCCTCGATAATGCAATAGGTTTCCCGACGGAAGTACCATTTGTTCTTCACCCTTTCGCCGTACTTCGGACAATCCAAGTATATCCCATTTTATATGATTCAGCTCGTTTTCCAGTTCAACTAGTTTTTCGTCCTCCATCAATGTTCTTGTGTTGTATGTTGCCATAAACCATATTCTTTGCCGTTGTCGTTTATGAAGGTAGCCTGGTTGACTCCGGTGATTCTTAGCACCCTCTGTCCCTCTAACTACAGGACTGCTACCATAGCCTGTTTTCAAGGGACTGCCGGAGACTGAGAGCCTTGCATTTTCTTCCTTTCTCATTTTACGGGGTTCCTGGCCGTTTCTCTACCACGCTGGCCTGTGCGGGTTGGTAGAAGGATTGTAGGATGGGCTAGGGAATTTGGCGTCATCGACAAGGATGATAGGTTGGGACGTGGTACCCTCTCGGTTAAAGGGATTGAGAGTGAGCCACGGCTCGCATAGGCAGGGTC